AATTCAGTTTAAGAATAGAGATATCAGGTTGCATAGAAAACTTGAAATGTCTAGCTCCATGTTTAGTTATCAAACATTTGTACCTATTGACTTGTAGAAACATCCTCCTGCAAGTAAGGATGTGTGCTTTCTCCCTTCTCTCTTTTTAAGATGATGGGGCATTAATTGCAGTAATGGGACTGCACGGCTTTGGGACCTTATACCTGTTAGTGGCTCCTCATCCAAATGGAGTATAGCTAAGGTGGCAGTTTTGGTTAGAATGCAAAAAATCACCTAAGTAAAGGTTAACATTTTATGAACATTTCTTTGACCATACCTTGAGCTGTGCAGTGCTTAATATCACTCACGGGTAGGTATTCTCATTCATAATAAGACTGATTAAAGATAAGATCAGACAGATTTTATTGATTCTTTTGAAATTTTATGTATTGTATATTTATCATATTTAATCCTAACCTCTCAACTGCTCCCACATTCATGCCTTTTTTCAAACCCATCAACTTTGTGTCTTCTTTATTTCCACTTAAAACAATTTTAAACATCTGGGTTTTTTTTATTGGCCATATACTCTTGGGTGTGTGACTATCCACTGGAGCATGGTCCACCAACTGGAGACCACATCATTAAAGCAAATTGAATCTCACTATTGGGCAGATAGAAATTGTCCATAGCTCATCACATTTGGGTAAGACTTTCTGCCCAACTCTATTCTCTGTGCTGGGATTATTTGTAGAATTTTTGAGCTCGCACATGTCTTGTGCATGTTGTCACAACCATTGAGAGTTTATCTTTGTAACTGCTGTTTTGTGTGCAGAAAACCTTGTTTCACTGTAGTCAGCTACTTGCTTTGTATCTTTCAGTCTTTATTCTCTTTTGTGAAAGTATCACTAAGCCATAGGAGGAAAGATTATGATTTATTGACATACCATTTAGGATTCTGCACTCCACAGCCTTGTATTCTCCTCACATCGACCAGCTGTGGATCTGTGTGTTAAATCACTATTTATTGCCAAAAAAGTAACTCTGATGAGGACTGAGAATTGCATTAATATATTGCATAAGTCATTAGGAGTTGATTTAATACTGTGTACACATACCAGCAAGAAGATAGTGATAGCTTTTTCCATAAGGTCTCAACCCATCTAGCTAGAGGTTATTGGCTCTGATAATGGTACCAGATAAATCTTCCTTCTTGGGGATTGGACCTTAATATATTCAGAACATGATTGGTAACTTCATGGCATTTGTACCACTATTGCACTACTGGGCAAATTTTGCAGCACAGTTATTATTGTAGCTCACAGGGTTACTCTGAGGTAAGACTGATGATTATTCATATTCTCCAGTAGTGTACATAGCACAGTTGGAAGAAAACTTCTAGGCCATTACCAGGTTGATTTCTCTATTTCTGTGAGACAATCATGTTATCTCCAATAATAGAAGCTTAGTCTCAAGTTTGGAAGGGTAACCAAGATCAATGTCAGGAGCATGTTGAGAATCTATGGGATTCACTAGCCAACAGCTCACAAATAGTATCCCATTTCTTGCACCATACTTGTATTTGTTAGACTATGGGGTCTATCATCACCTGTTATACTATTTTACATATGTACATGTATATATTTAGGCAGCTTCTATAATAGTTAGCTTCCAGATGGCTTTAAAAATAGTTATCCTCCTAGTAGTCATTCCTCTATGATGCCTTCTCACTCCTACATCATTTAACCTCTTTTTCCATGATTCCTCTTTCTTCCTTTATATCATTGTATGAAATTTCCCCTGCCTTGAAATTTCTTCCCAATTGTCCTTTACTAATTTTCTGACTTCTATGTCTATTCCAAGGGAAATACACTTATCTAGAGCTTTGAATAACTGACTTAGTATTGGTTCCCAGAGTCAGGATCATATCTAGTACCTTGAACAATGAGCTTAGTTTATCTAAGGAATCAATCCCAGAAAAGACAAGTAACCAGGTAGATAAGATATTTGGTGAAATTTCTCACATATTCTACAGCACGCCTCCTCTGTTCATTTTTAAATTATTTGATATATGCAGCTGATTTAAGCAAGCATTATAGTACCATGTTGGGAAATCATCAAACTACTACAAGTAATGCCCTCCATTCTTTTTTAGAGTTAAAGAAAATAGAAGTTCTTTGATAAGCTGGGGTTTTCAGTGAGGTGCTAACTATGTCCTTCTGAACACACCAGCCCCAAACACTGGGCACCATTTTCAAAAGACCATCATGGCTATTTGTGAAGATGGTGAGTTGCCTGATCCAATTCTGGTAAGCATCATTTTTTTTCCTTCTGTGGTCACAGTATTTCCAGAGAATATAGCACTTTCAAATCTTTTCTCAAATTGGAAGAACTATTAGACAACCTAGGATTAGGGAAGAGAAACTGTAAAATATCACTTTTAAAGAGAGAAGAATACTCCATTTAGATTTTACTGATTTATAGAAGGCAAGCATGAGAAGAAAATACATACCTGTCTTTTCTGCTGGTTTAAGCATAGACACTTCCTTCTGGATGATGGCAGGGGGCACAATGGACATGGCTCTGTGAATTTACCTCTGCCTCACATCACCTTGTCACCTTCTTCCTTGAATTCCACACTAGTCTTATATCTCCTTTCATGGCCAATGATTGCAATGAGGGTGTTCATTTTTCTAATGTGAAATATTTGACAAGCTTTCATTTGCATTTTAAGTGATTCTACATGCAAAAAATTTCATGTGGTGAGTATTAATCCTTTAATCCTAACAAAATGCATAAAAAATATGTCCCATATTTGGGCCTTTTTATTTCAAATAAACAATTAAATTATCAGTGGAAACATTTATTGAATATCCAACATCCCTCCAAGCACTATACTAGATATAGGAAAGTTTATGCTTCATGGGAACAAGTTTATCATATTAGGAACAAGATTTACTACAGTAAGCCTTAAATGTTTTATAAAATTTAGCAATAGCCATGACTGCCATAATCCTACTTCTGAAAGTTAAAAAAAAAATCAGTAAGTTTTGTGCTATGCTTACTGTAACAATAAATCAGTGGCAGGATAGATTGCAGTCACTGTGGGTTTGTGACTCTGACAGCATCTTTGTACACTGAGAGCTATAAATACTAAGACAGAGTAGAAGGAAATGAAAGATTTATTCAAAGGAAGTATCATCAATAAGACATCCATAAATCCAGATAGTTGCTAATCAAATGATAGAAGGATCTGGTCGTACCATTTTATGACTACATTTGGGAACCTTTACAATCAAATCTGTAAATGGAATCTATGCATTTTTATGATCAATACTCCCAGTTGAATCCTGTGTAAGGTGCTCACTATACTGAAGTTCATGCCTTAACTTTTTACCTCCTAATGATCCATGGGACTACACAAGATGGCAGAGTGCTTTGAAATGAATGAAAGAATTAAGATCTTTGAGAAAAAATTACGTGATTAAAACAATCATTCTAAAGAACAAAACCTTGTGCCAGGATTTACTGTGCTGTTACCTTCAAAATATTGTCACTCTAGTTACTTCATCTCAAATACAGATAAAATACTTGAAAAACAGCCATGCTAAATGGTGTAAATAAAATATACTCCACAATACTTTTCTGAAATAATACATTGAGTGTGGTAAAGTTTTCTTTGAAGTCAGCAGTTAGCATCACACAAGCCCAGAGATTTACAGCTAACTACCAGTTCATAATTCACTGTCTCGAATAGAGATGAGATTCATAACTTGAAGTTGTATATATTTATTCCTTTCATCTTCATATTCCTGACATTTCTTTGCTTGATGGTATTTGTGTAATTGTTTTTAGAAACTCTTTAGAGCTGGGTGGTGGTGGCACACACCTTTAATCCCAGCACTTGAGAGGCAGAGCCAGGCAGATCTCTGTGAGTTCAAGGCCAGCCTGGTCTACAGAGTGAGATCCAGGAGAGGCACCAAATCTACACAGAGAAACCCTTTCTCAAAAAACCAAAAAGAAAAAGTCTTTAGAATCTATTTCAATAAGAACTAAGGTAAGTCTAGTGTCTCATAATACATTTGTACTAAAATAACATATTTTTCATTCAACAGTGACTATGGAACAACCTTTTGAAGACCATTAAATTCCATAGTGGCCTGCACAAGAGACAACTGCAGAAGGGTGTCTGAGGCTCCATCTGGATAAGCCCACTTAGTTAGCTGTCCATAATATTTTTTTCATTCATTTTGAGACTAGAATCCCTGTAACCAAATATTACTTCTTTCTTCATTTATTGTTACAATATTATTCTTTCTTTTTCATTTGGAAATAGGATTTATTATTCAATTTCTCCTGTTTTTCATTATGTTTCAATGAAAATAGTTTACAATTTAAAAAGAAGACAATATTTTACTGATTTAATGTTTCAGCTAATCTTATTTGAGTATCAGTGAGACAGCTCTGTTGGAAATAGTTGCCTTGTGCAAGGCTGTAACCTCATCTTGATCACCACAGACTGGTGATAAAGCTAGACAAAAGTAGATCCCACAAAGTTATCTTCTTGTCTCCACATATCTATCATGGCCTAAAAAACTGATAGTCACATTGCAGAAACACACAGCAAAATGTTTTTAAATAAATCTCATTGTCATTACGTTATTCAGCATCTCTGGATAATTCCCTTAGAAGGCAATACTTCAAGATATGATGCCAAATGGATAACTGATGAGGACATGAAAAATGCATGGAACTTCAAGTCATATATACATATCCATAGTACATTAAGTTATATTGTGAAATATACAGCTGATTGCTGATTATATCTTATTACATCACTTGCAGATAGATGAAATGTTTCTTTGGGTACACACATGAGGCATTTAATGTTTGTTATACTCTTGTCTATGTTTAAGCATTTTAACAATAACATTCTTAATATGTGTTGACAAAACAGAAAATGTTGGGAGTCCATTTTCTACCCTTAGACTTGTACTCAGAAGACTGACACATGAGGATCATGAGTTTGATTTTATCTTTAATTACTATCATCCAAGTGAGGTTGGATAAAAACAACATTTCAAGGGAATTTTTGAAAAAATATGAAAAATAAAACCAGAAATAAAAACCCACCACCCTTTCACAGACACACTTACTTGAAAATATGACCACATATTGCCTAATATTTATATAAAAATGTACAACTTAGATGATGGCCATCCCATTCGATACAGTGCAGCAGAAAAATACCTTTCACTAAGTGAAAGCACAATAGAAAAAGAATAAAAGCCACAGAAGGAATATAAGGGCTACAAATAAACTTCACTAAATGAATTTGCCACACATAGAACACACTATAATATCTACCTCAAATGTTGCAAAATAAAAGCCACAATAGGATCTTCACATCAGTCTTTAGTAAACTTGGTTAATAATATATTCACTTCAAGTCTATAATGAAAAAAGTTTTTTTTCTTGAAACAGAAGACAATTGTGATGTCTAAAGGCTTTACCAAACTATTTATGCAAACATAATTAAGTTCCTCCCTATTTCCTGATATAAAGATGATATAAAAAAGCTATAGAATATTTACAATATTACAGATATTAATATTGTATTAATATCTAGAGACATGGCTAAGCATTTAATTCAAGTCCATTCCCAGGAGCAAGGTCAGGTTTTTGACAACTTCCAGTAATTTGTGGTACAAAAGACTCCAAGGGTCTAACCTGTTTGGGAACCAGAATGCACATGCACATACCCACAAAAAGACACAGTAACATTGCATTATTAAAATTAAAACAAATCTTTAAATTAATGTTCACTTATGAATGTTTATCCCTTGTAATTCCTGTAACACAGGTGTTGAGGTATCTGAAGGCTTACAGCATTTTCCCCATCATGAATTGGTTCATGTAACAGAAAGCAAGCATGTAGGCTTGAAGACAGAGAAATAAATCATTCTCAGTATGTGGTATCATTTGGGAAGATTTAGAAAATGCTGCCCTGCTGGAAGAAATATTTCACTGAAGGTTGGGATGAGAGTTTATATGTGCACACCATTTCCAATTTACACTTTCTGCTTTCTGCTGCAGGTTAAGGATGTGAATCTTTAGCTTTCTACTTTAGCTGCCATCTCTGACACTTGTTTCCATGCCACTTTCATGGGGATTCTGCATCGCTCTGGAACCAGGGGACAAATTAAACACTTTTGCAAGCAAATATAGATATGATGTTTTATCACAGCAACAGAAAAGGCACTAATACACATCCATGAAATTTTACATCTGGATTCATTATCTCACGTAACTGAGGAGTTATGAAATCTAAAAGGGTTACTTTGTCATTTAAATTCATAGGACTTGTGTCCATGTGAGCTTGCAGGTGTAAACAAAATAAAGAGGCACATCATATTGCTTCAACCAGTTGTTGACACTTGTCAGATTGTTTTCTCCAAAATAAATCATCTTGTGTAACTGAATGTAAGTGGGCTGGCTAAAGATCTTACCAAATCCTTTATATTCAGATTCCTTTCAGCATGAGTTTTTCCAGATCCTCAAAATCTAATGTTATATTCCAAGGCTTTAACAGACCAATTACACACAAAAAGCGTTGCCCATGTAAAGTTTCTCTCCAGTATGTGTTCTTTTATGCATTTGAAGAGTACTATGACATGTAAAGGATTTGTCACACTGATTACATAGGGTTTCTCTGTAGTATGGGTTCTTCCATGGTTTCAGTGATTATTGTGACATAAAAAAGCTTTACTTCACTGATTACATTCATAGGTTTCCTCTCCAGTAAGTGTTCTTTTATGCATTTGAAGAGCATTGTGACATGCAAAGGCTTTAGCACAGTGATTACATTCATAGACCTTCTCTCAAGTTTGTATGTGTTCTTTTATGCCTTTGAAGATGACTGTGTCGTGCAAAGGCTTTAGCACATTGAGTGCATTCATAAGGTTTCTCTCCAGTATGTGTTCTTTTATGCCTTTGAAGATTACTATGTTGTGAAAAGGCTTTACCACATTGAGTGCATTCATAGGGTTTGTCTCCAGTGTGTGTTCTTTCATGCATTTGAAGACTTTTGTGCCATGCAAAGGCTTTACCACATTGAGTACATTTATAGGGTTTCTCTCCAGTATGTGTTCTTCTATGCCTTTGAAGATTACTGTGTTGTGCAAAGGCTTTACCACATTGAGTGCATTCATATTCATAGGGTTTGTCTCCAGTGTGTGTTCTTTTATGCATTTGAAGACTTTTTTGCCATGCAAAGGCTTTACCACATTGAGTGCATTCATAGGGTTTCTCTCCAGTATGTGTTCTTTTATGCCTTTGAAGATTACTGTGTTGTGCAAAGGCTTTACCACATTGAGTGCATTCATAGGGTTTGTCTCCCGTGTGTGTTCTTTTATGCATTTTAAAACTTTTGTGCCATGCAAAGGCTTTACCACATTGATTACATTCATAGGGTTTCTCTCCAGTATGTATCCTTTTATGCAGTTGAAGATCACCATGAAATGCAAAGGCTTTACCACATTGATTACATACATAGGGTTTCTCTCCAGTATGTGTTCTTTTATGGCTTTGAAGATGACTGTAATATGCAAAGGCTTTACCACACTCAATACATTCATAGGGTTTCTCTCCAGTATGGTTTATTTTATGAATTTGGAGAGAACTGTGATCTGCAAAGGCTTTACCACATTGATTACATTCATAGGGTTTCTCTCCAGTATGTGTTCTTTTATGCCTTTGAAGATGACTATAATATGCAAAGGCTTTACTACATTGATTGCATTCATAGGGTTTCTCTCTAGTATGTGTTCTTTTGTGCCTTTGAAGTTGACTGTGTCGTGCAAAGGCTTTACCACATTGAGTGCATTCATAGGTTTTCTCTCCAGTAGGTGTTCTTTTATGTATTTGAAGATGATTGTGACAAGCAAAGGTGCTACAACACTGATTACACTCAAAGAGTTTCCCTCCAGTATGTGTTCTTTCATGCCTTTGAAGATGACTCTCATATGCAAAAGCTTTACCACATTGAGTATATAAGGAAGGTTTCTCTCCAGGTTGACTTCTTTCACACCTTTCATGTCTTCTAGAACTTTGACAATGTTCTTCAATACTATGGTCTTCCCAACTGTATCCTACAGTAGTGAGGTTTCTGTAGGTTTCCAGCATCACATCTTTGTAGAGATTTTTCTGGGAAGGCTCCAGCAAAGTCCACTCTTCCCAAGTGAAGTCAACATGCACATCATCATAGGTCACCACTTTCATATCATGGGTTTCCAGCTCACCCATGTTCTCTGCTCAGCTCCCTGAAGCAGTCCTTGCAGCACAGCACACAAAACCACTGGCACCAGCTTCTCTTCAAAGCCAATACAATATTCTTCTAACAGCTATTTTTCAAAATGCTGCAGGATTTGTTCGAACTTGATTTAAAGCACACCTGTACAGAAATAAGTGAATTCTTCAACAAAAGAATAAAAACACCAAGCCAGCAGATGGTGGCACATGCCTTTAATCCCAGCACTTGGGAGACAGAGGCAGGTGAATAGCTGAGTTTGAGGCCAGCCTGGTCTACAAAGTGAGTTCCAGGACACCCCAGGCTACACAGAGAAACCATGTCATAAAAAAATTGCCCCAAAGCAGGCAAACAAACAAAAAAAATTAAAACACCAATAATAAACTAAAAGAAACATCTGAGTTGATGCCTCCTTCCATCTATTCACAACTGAGAAAAAAATCTACCTCCAAAATATATCCTCTGCTTTTCTGTTTTATATTATTTGAATTCTATTCAGTATATTATATTAATTAAATATATTTAATTATGTTGTATTAAACATATTCTTTATTTTAATAATAAATATTCCATAATTTGATGTCTAGACAGTCATGTTTTGTTTATGACTCACCTAGTTTTTGTAGGATGCTCAGCTGGGCATATTATCTGTTCTTGGCTGTGGAACTCATGGACATGTAGTCATTTAATAGCTCAACTGGGGTTCACTAACATGTCTGTCATTTGAACTGGCTAGTAATTTTTTCTCAGTCTATATCAGGTTAGTTCAGCCTTCTTCACATGGCAGAAGTTTTCAGAAGCAAGAGTAGTCAATGTTTACAAATGTCCCATTTGTCAAAGATTATTATGCCAATAATAATCAAAATTTGATTTAGAAGGTACCTTTGAGATGCAATATATAATCAACTACAATAGATAAGAAAAAAAGACCTTCATGGGCTGGGCAATGGTGGTTCATGCATTTAATTCCAGCACTTGAGAGGCAGAGGAATGTGGATCTCTATGAGTTCGAGGCTAGCCTCATCTACAGAGCAAGTTCCAGGACAACCAAGGCTACACAGAGAAACCATGTCTCAAAAAAACTAACTAAATAAATAAATGAATATAAAATAAGATCTTTATTTTTATGGAAGGCTCTTAGTGATTATGTGTGATACTGTTAATCAAAACTGAACATAACCTCACTAACAAACACATAACTTTCTTCAGATTTAGGCACTCTGAATGCACTGAAAACCTAGTCCTAAAAAAATTGAACAAGACACAGATTTGGAGAAACAATTTAATCAACTCAAATGGATCAAACAAGACCAACAATACAAAAGCTTATTTAAAGTTGGTGTGTTGTATACTACATGTATTATAGAAATAAAATCCTCAAAATTCAGAAGAATTCTAGGCCTTGAGTGCTTTATGGAAATAGACAAAAACAGAGGATCCTGTAGACATGAGAATAATTAAACCTACAAAAGCTCAAATCAAGAAATATTTGCGATCCTGCCCAGAGTCCCCATCTGGACTAGAGTCCCCAGCTCCCATCCTGTCTGGAGTCCCCATCTGGACCAGAGCTCCAATCCAGCCCAGAACTCCCATCTGGACCAGAGACCACCGCCACTTCCTGAGACTTAGAGACAAGCCCCCAGTTCCCATCCCACCTGGAGATCCCATCTGGACAAGAGGTGAGTGCCTGGGATCATACCCAGAAAGGCCTGCTCCTAGGTCCCATCCCTGGGCACCAGCCATTCCAGGGAAGAACTGCCCAACTTGGCCTAAGGTTCTGGCCAGAGGGCAGGACCCCCCCATCCCCACCGGGAAGGTTCCCCTTCTTGAAGACTCCCGGCAGACCCTGCAATCTCTACACCCTGCCTCCACACCCATCCGCCTGAGACCCCAGCCACTTCCTGAGACTTACAGACCAGGCCCAGCTCCCATCCTGTCTGGAATCCCCATCTGGACCAGAGGTGAGTGCCTGGGGTCATACCCAGGAAGGCCTGCCCCTAGGTCCCATCCCTGGGCACCAGCCATTCTGGGGAAGACCTGCCAACTTGGCACCAGGTTCTGGCCATCAGGCGGGACCCCCCTGCTGAAGGTTCCCCTTCTCCAAGACGCCCCCCCCCGGCAGACCCTGTAATCTCCATGCCCTGCCCCCACACCCATCTGCCAGAGACCCCAGCCACTGCCTGAGACTCAGAGACCAGTCCCCAGCTCCCATCCAGCCCAGAGCTTCCATCTGGATCAGAGAGAGGCTTCCTGAATCTGTCAGCTCTGTTTGGACCAAGAGCGCTAATAAGATCAAGAACAAATCCACTAGGAGATGGGCAGACATCAAGGCAGAAGTACATACAACAAATAAAGAGCAATACAGCATCACCAGAACCTAGCCCTCCTCCAACAGCTAGACCTGAACATCACAAAATGGAAGAAGCAGAAGAAAGCAACCTTATGAATAACATCATGATGATGCTAGAGGCTTATAAAGAAGAAATCAAAAAAGAAATTGAGGAACAGACAAAAATGGGAAGAATGCTATAAAAATGAGAGGAAAGGACAAATAAAGCAGAAGAAAACAATAAATCCCTGAAAGAAAATCATGAAAAAGCAATGAAACAGATGAGGGAATCCATATTCAGGAAGGCTACCACATATAGCAACATATAGCAGGTCACCACATATAGCAACAGAATCAGTAGGGCTCATGGTCCATCCCAGTCACAGCACCTGGGACTCTGATAGCAGAGCCAACATGCTCTTCCTGATCTGGGGACAGTGGCCACCACATTCACCATTGCATGGCTGTGGTTTTCCATACAGCTACCTATAGCAGAATCAGAGAAAAATCCTGGAAAGAACCTGCAAGCTACCCACTAGTCTTCCTGATTTCTAAACCTTCCCAGAGTCCAATATTAGCTAGAGTCACCCAGCTGGGCCTCAAGACATTAGCAGCTCCCCTACCGGATGAGCAGAGATAAAATGACTCAGACAACTCATGCCTTCCCAGCTCTGTCCTTGCATCCAAGGAGTAGACTGGGCCCTAGTCTGGGAAAATTGTATTTCAGTAGAATCTTCTATTCTCCTAGCAAATTTCCTGTTCCTCTTCCAATGGACAGGGTCTTCTGTGTGCACATTACAGTACACACTCAATGTCCAGTGCAGTCAACCCTTCATACCTCAGAAGTCCTATAGCCAAGCACAGGTCACAAACAGTAGGTGTTGTTAAAGCAAAGAGAAGCCATGGATTACAAAGAAAGGAGGAGTCTATGAGGGGTCTTGAAAGCAGGAAAGAGATGGTGGAAATGGTGTAATTGTAATCCTAAAGAATTATTTTTAAAAGATGAAACAGTCTTTATGGTTACGTGCTCTAGAGAACAGGAATTTGTACTAGAGCACACCAAGTATTACTCATGCATTTTCTCTTAGGCTGTACATCTTAAAACTGGAAAATACAGTAATGTTAGGCAGGGCCACACCATTTTACCCAGTTCTTCTATTTTGGTTGAACGGGTATAACTACAGTAACTTGGCTTCACAATAAGTTCAGTTCTTTATCCAAATTCTTGAAGTCCTCATCTGTAGACCAGAGAAATGGCCAATCAGGACATTATCGATCATCTAAAATTGATTACCTCACTACGCATTGCTGTCAACTACGTTCATAGCAGGAAAGCTTCCACCTTCCTTTTTGCCATCTTTTTCTGTGCTGTGACTACATCTGCTTTATAGTTGGCCAGGGAACTCAATTCTTACACAATTTCCTCTTCATTTGTAAGTTCCCAGTAAAAGCCAGAAAGGTTGGAGGACATTCATTCACTGGTCTATTTTTCCTTCTCAATGGCCAGTCAAGGACTAGCCTTGAAGCAGTTGCAGAATTGTCTTTCCAGCACTGGCCAGAAGAGGCAGGATTAAATGTTCAAAGAAATTCTCAGTTACATAGTGTGAAGCAAGCCTAAGCTACAGGAGACATTACTCTAAACTAGTGGTTCTAAACCTTCCTAATACTGTGAGCCTTTAATACAGTTCCTCTCTTTGTGGTGACCACCCCAGCTACAAAATTATTTCACTGCTACTTCATAACTATAATTTTACTGTTGTTGTGAACATAATATAAATATCTGTGTTTTCTGATAGTCTTTTTGAGACAAGGTTTCTCTGTGTAGCTTTGGTGCCTGTCCTGGATCTCGCTCTGTAGACTAGGCTGGCCTTGAACTCACAGAGATCCTTCTTGGCTCTGCCTCCCGAGTGCTGAGATCAAAGGCATGAGTCACCACCACCCGGCTATCTGATGGTCTTAGATGAATCTGATAGGATCATTTGATTACCCCAAAGAGAGCCAGAATTCTCCAGGTTTAGAACCATTGCTTCTAACTGACATAAATAAGTAAATAAATAAATAGCACTAAGGAAAAAAATGGAATGACAGTTTAATGACTGGGAAACATTGGAAAATAGAAACAAATAGAGATTAGAGCAGTAATTTAAAGAAAATGAAATTTAAAAGAGCAAACTAATAACTGAATTTCTAAAATCATAACAAATAATTAGAAGAACACTTAGCTATATTGACTTTGAAAGAGAGTAGGTACTTCCCTGGTAGGGAGAACACCATTAATAAGACATTTTATCACTTGTCCATGTAAAATGTTAGCTGCTGAGTGCTATAAGCTGATCTAGATTTATAGCCAATGGCCTGTGTCTCAAACCTCTGAGCTGATTTAACTGTGTCAACCAGGACTGCACATATCTACATAGAAGAGTTCCCAAACTGAAAACTAAATACTTAGCAGTTCAAGTTACCCATCCTAAATTGTACAGCTATCAATTCTGTCTGCCTTCATTCACAAGGAAGATATTAATACATGCTGGTAAATTACATATACAGTCACTCACCCTGCCCCAGCAGGTCCCCCTTATGTATGACGGAGACCCCTGCAGCTCACTGCCTTAAACTTCAGTCTGTGATCTAACCATTGCCTAGTCTATTTTCACTGCAGTGCACACAGTACACTGTTCTTCCTCTTCTGCTCTGAAGGGAGAAGCCATGCTCCACACACAATACTTTTTCCTGTTACTGCAATAGACAGTCCACTATGTGACTCAAACTAGTAATTTTAGAACTCTGTGTGCTACAGACCTGTAATCCAAAAATT